ACAATTCCATTGTGTATATATACCACATTTTCTTAGAACTGGCTCATTCTTTTATGATCTAAATAATTACTGTCAAGTGACTTAACCTTTCTCAGCTTCTCAATGTCCTACCTGTTATCCTATAGCATGAACTAGGTAGATGAGGGTCCAGTATGTTCACTAAGATAAGAAGATTACAGGCTCCTCTATGCAAGGTATCAGATGCATATGAATAATATAAATATAGGTACCAAGAAAGTTGACCATTAGTGCTGGGAAGGTGGCTCAGTGGTAGAGTGCTTGCCTCGCATGCATGAGGCCCTGGGTTCGATTCCTCAGCACCACATACACAGAAAAAGCCAGAAGTGGTGCTATGGCTCAAGCTGTAGAGCGCTAGCCTTGAGCTGAAGAGCTGAGGGACAGCGCCCAGGCCCAGAGTTCAAGTGCCATGACCGACAAAAACAAACAACAACAAAGCCAGGCACCGGTGGCTACTCCTGTCATCCTAGCTACTCAGAAGGTGAGATCTGAGGATCCCGGTTCAAAGCCAGCCTGGGCAGGAAAGTCCATAAGATTCTTACCTCCAATTAACCTCCAGAAAACCAGAAGTGGCACTGTGGCTCAAGTGGTAGAGCACTCGCCTTGAGCTAAAGAGTGAGAGACAGCACCAGGCCCAGAGTTCAAGGCCCAGGACCAACAAAAAAAATAAAAGTTGACCACTAAACTTTTTAAAAAGTGAACTGAATATAGAGCTATTTACATGGACAAATTAGCTGACAATTTTAAATTGTATAAATTATGGACTTAGTCATAGGAACCACATCACAAAATAAACTCCTAATAAATAGTACACTTAAAGCTCACATCTAACCCTAGCTACTCAGGAGCCTGAGCTCTGAAGATCATGGTTCAAAGACAATCCAGGCAAGTAAAGTCCTTGAGACTCTTATCTCCAATTAACCACCTAAAAACCAGAAGTGGAGTTGTGGCTCTGTGGTAGAGTGCTAGCCTTGAAAAAAAAAAGCTCAGGGACAATGCTCTGGCCCTGAGTTCAAGCCCCATGATAGACTAAAACAAAAGTATATGTAATCTCTATCTACTGCTAAAATAGAACAAATCAGAAAACACATTTATTTCTAGTAACCAAATCTGCAATACCTCTTGAACAGCCTTTCAACAACAACAACAACAAAAAATCAAACAATGTACATATTGATATGAAGATTTCTACAAGCAGAGTTTTCCACACTCTTAAGCTGCAAACATTTACATGTAATTCAATGCCCTGAATTAAAACAATGTTTAGGCTTAGGAAAAGATACATTTAAATGCATGCTATCCCTGACAATCACCTTGTCACAATTTGAAGTGGATGAAAGACCTCACAGGAAGGAGTAAGGGAAACATTAGAACTTATTGGCATAGGCAGGAACTTTCTGAGTAGAATTCCAAAGGCTCAGCAAATAGGAGAATTGACAAGTGGGATTACATTAACCTAAAAACTTCTGCACAGCCCAAGATAAAGACATTAAGCTAAAAAGATAATCTCAGAATGGGAGATCTTTGCCAGCCAGATATCTGACAAGGGTCTACTACCCGGAATATATGAAGAGCTCAAAAAACTCCAAGAAGCAACAACCTAATTAGTAAATGGACAAAGGATCTAAACAAACAATTGTCAGCAAAAATAGTAAAAAGAGCCAATAAACACACACATAAATAGTGGCACCGTGGCTCAAGTGGTAGAGTGCTCGCCTTGAGCTGAAGAGCGCAGGGACAGTGCCCAGGCCCAGAGGTCAAGCCCCAGGATGGATAGATAGATAGATAGATAGATAGATAGATAGATAGATAGATAGATAGATAGATAGATAGATAGATAGATAGATAGATAGATAGATAGATAGATAGATAGATAGATAGATAGATATAAGATACACACACAATACTCAGCATTCTCTAGTCATAAAGGAAATGCAAGTCAAAACAACACTGAGTCTGTAGTAAGAATGGTCAATTATGATTATGAACCAAATAAGATTATGAATCAAATAAGATTATGAACCACAAATGCTGACATGAATGGAGGAGGGGGACCACAGTATTCTGTGGGAATGTAAACTATTGCAAACACTATGGAAATCAATATAGAGATTCTTCAAAAAACAAAATATAGAAGTACCTTATGATCTAGTGATACCATTCCTGAGCATTTACCCAAAAGACTGCATAACAAGACACCAAAAAAAGGCACCAGCACACCCATGTTCACTGCCGCAGTATCCACCACAGCTAAGTTATAAAAACAGCACAAATGCCCTGCAACCAATCAATGGATAGAGAATATGTGATTGATATCAGATAAATATATATATGATAGCTATTTATATGTGTGTGTGTGTAAAACACACACACACACACACACACACACACACACAGTATTTTATTCAGCCATTAGGAAAAAATATTATGTCATTTACAGGTAATAAAAGGACCTGGGAAATATTGTTTTGAGTGAAGTAAATCAGACTCAGAGAAACAAAAGCATGTTTTCTCTCACATGTGGAAGTTAGATCAATAAACATATATGAGAACAAATACAGAACAAATACAATCAAACTGACGACTGGTTTATCTGCAGGGGAGGACTCCCATGATATAAGCCCTTTGAACAATTTAACAAACTGAATACCAGGAAGCTGAAACATGTCCTGCCTGAGGGGGTGGGGCAGTGGCTGGATGGAGGGCAAATATACTCATAAAACCCAATGCTCATAAGTGAAAATGGAACTAGAAAACGTCAGGAGATAGGAGATGATGGAAGGAGTGACACTAAGCAAGATGCACTGTACTCAAACTGACATGTCGAACTGAAACTCCGTTGTACAACTATTTAAAGATAAGAACAATTAACTGAAATATCAAAAAAAAAACTTGAAAATATAATATTCTTGGGTGAGATCCAAAGTAAATTCTTCAATAGTGCATTGTTACAGAAAAGACACCCTACCCCCTTGTGCTTTAAGGATATCTGAAAGGTTTAATTTCAAAGTATACAAATATAGGTCTGTGCACTATTTTTAGCCTGTCCTGGTAAGAATTTTATGTCTTTTAAAAACTGGGACACTGCTATGTTTTTTTTAGGTTAATGTTGCGGATAGAATCAAATGCATGGCTTAGAATGTCTAACTGCAGATAGAGATTTTTATATTCTTTCAATTTTAGCTTTTTACTTTATCTACAAATTGTACATCTTATACTTGAAACAACTCAAACAATTCCTACACACTACCCATCTTTGTCTTTATCACAAAGGCACAAACAAGCATAAAAACAGGTCTCTTAGCTTTCTGTCTTGGCACAACAGGGTAAAATGAGCAGGCAGAGAAGAAGTTTAAAGATAGCTATGCAAGGCTATCACTGTGGAGGCATGTGCTCAGTCCTGAACTTGGAGATATGACAAGTTTTTAGCTTGAACCACCCAGAGCAGAACCATCTGTCCAAAGGAATGGTTTGCTCCTGTGTTACACATACATCCCCACTGTTTTCCACCATCTACATGGAGAGCTCTGCTCCCCTTGCCCAGTCTTGGCCTATATAAAATATGTATTTCAGCTAACAGAACAGACAGCTGTTCCCCTTTTCTCCAACAGCCTAAAATACACTTGAAAAATAAGTTGCTTTGATAAATTGTTTTGTGGCAGGCCAAAACAATGCTCTTTTCGCTAAAGTCCACATTTCTAAACTCACTCTGAGTAAAAAATACAGTAGCTGATTATTCAATATTCTGTTGTCTCTGGGTTCACAGATCTGGGATCTTGCCAGGTTTTATGAAAGAAATCCAAGAGCCATATTATTAATGATCAGTGCTATCACTCAAGTTAGCATTATGCAAACAAACCCCAGTAAGTATACGAAAAGATCATAGCTGTCAATAACTTACAGTAACCAGTTGTGTTTAATTATAACATGATCCCAAGGCCAAAATACCTTTTAAAATTAAAGTTTCAATTTAACTCAGCAAAATCTTTACTCTGAATATCTAATTATGTAATAAAACAACAGGTGTTTTGTTCATATTCCATCAATAGTTCTAATATCATGTGCTTTATGTTCATAAGCCTAAAAAAGAAGTAACAGATGACAAAGGCAGCTTAACTACTGAAAACATATCCAGTGTTGGAACTGCAGTTTGATAGTAATACATCCAATACTCTACTGATACTGAAAATTTTAACCTAAAAACTAAATTGAATAAGCCCTAAATTGAAAAATGCCCTACAGGGCATTTTTTTTTTGCCCAAGGGCAAAATCCTGTCTAGATTGGCGTGATATTTAAATATGTTATGTAACAATATCTTTATTAATTTTTTTGTTAAGGACTGTATCAGCTTAAACATCCACTACTACTTTAAGCAAAATTACTTCAAGCTAAATTTGCTTTAATGCATGCACTATTTATATGGCATTTTTCAACTTATGTTTTCCAACACTATCTTGAATATTACAATGAAAATGACCTACCTTAAATCAATGAAAATTCTAACAGTAAAATAGAAAATTGTTTACTCCCAGTATTCCTGACATCTTAAATAATGTACCTTCAAATGAAATATAAACCTTTATATTGAGGTTAAAAAAAAAGAATTTTAAATAAGAAAATCCATGCTGTTTTTCCTACAGTCCTGTACGGTTAAAATTAGCCACTTTGTTTTTTCACAGCACAGAATAGGTAGGGAGTAAAAGGGAAAACACTTAATTTACGAGAAATAAGAGACCTGAGAAGGCAAGCTTAAGTCACTTAAAAAACAAAACAAAACAAAACTTTTTCTTACTATTCAAAAAGCTATCTAACTGTTTTACGGCTATATTGTAAAACCATATCACAACAACTTCCATAGTTTTCAAAAATTAAACTTTAAATCTACTTGTAATAAATCAATTTTGAAAACCTTTATCTTCCTTCTTAATGAAAAAAAACAAAGTAAAACATAAACTGAACAGATTTTTTAGGTTGTTTATACCTTTTGCCCAACACATTGGAAATGGACTACAGCCGCTTTTCTCCATACAGATGGCACCTGCTGGTTTCAGGGCCTCTTGGCCTGCCAGTTCCAACAACATACACCCAATCCTATCAAGATCAAGCCAGGAGTCCGCACACAAAGTCCCCGTTCATCACTCCGACAGCATTTACTTGATCCAAAGCGAGACTAAGCTTCCCCAGTGTGCTCCTTTTCAGAGCTTGAAGCAAAATTTGGGAAGTGTTCCTTCTGTAACAATTTCCAGCAGCTTGAAGGATGCCTCTCAGATAACGAATCTTCTGCTTCCGCAATCTGAAACACAGACCGATCTGGCCAGATTAAGCCAGTGAACAGAACGAAACCACCTAGTCATGCCACCCTAGGGGACTGTTCCTAGACTCATTCAGGGAAGGAGAGAGACAAGAGAAAAGAAGAGGGAGGAGAAAAGAAGGCCAGTAGCCAGCACCTTATGAATATGCTAATGTCGCCCTTCTGTTCAATTCATCCAGCAGACTTCTGTTTACAAAATGACAGTCAACTCTAAAATTGAATGAGCTGCAAATCAAGTCTGACCCAGATTGTGTCTGAAAATGGTTCCTAAACCATTTCTTCAAAGTCATATCAACCTAATTCTGACCTTAGCGTTAGAATAATTAACTTCATGAAATAAGATTCTGGGGGGGAGGGGGAGACCCAAACACGTGATCACCATTAAAAAGATCTTTTAAAAAAATCTTTATAGGAACCAAAACATCTGTGAAGTAAAATGTTTTTCTTGATACTTTCACAAATAAATCTGTAAATGTATAAAACTGCCCAGAAAATATAGACAAGAAGCTGAGGTAGCCAATTTCTTTTAAAATTCTCGTAAGGAATTTTGAGAGCCAAGATGTAAGATTTCTTTTTCTTGCTTCAAAAGATAAGAAATAAACTCATACTAAGGAAGCCAGGACAGAAAAATACCTTCCGGCTGTATCAGCAGTTTTTTTGAAAAATACAAAGCAACTTTCTTTCTTTACTCAAGTTCAGAGAGTTAAAAGTCATGATAAAAATTCATCTAGGGGCTGGGAAGGTAGCTCAGTGGTAGAGCGCTTGTCTTGCATACATGAAGCCCTGGGTTCGATTCCCCAGCACCACATAAGCAAAAAGAAAAAAGCCAGAAGTGGCGCTGTGGCTCAAGCGGTAGAGCGCTAGCTTTGAGCTGAAAAGCTAGGGACAGTGCCCAGGCCCAGAGTTCAGGCCCCACGACTGGACCCAAAAAAAAAAAAATTCATCTATTTGAACACATCCCATTTTAGCATGAGAGTAAGTAACTAGGCTCCTGGTGCCTAGTTATTTGATCATATATAATACACACTGAAGTTCAATATAATTACAGCTCTCCTAATAGATGGGTGATTTTGTTAGCTGTACAAACCAATAACCTAAACATAACTTGAGAACTTCCCTTATCTGTGTGCAAAAGGAAAAGCTCTATTTATTAATTCACTAACTTTTTTTTTTTTTTTTTTTGCCACTCCTGGAGCTTGAACTCAGGGCACTGTCGCTGAGGCTAGTACTCTACCACATAAGCTACAATGCCACTTCTGGCTTTTTCTGTTTACGTGGTGCTAAGGAATGGAACCCAGGGCTTCATGCATACTAGGCAAGCACTCTACCATTAAGCCACATTACCAGCCCCAATAACTTTTGAATATAAGACCTGAACAAGCAAGGCACTGGTGGCTTATGCTTGTATTACTAGCTACTCAGGAGGCTGAGATCTGAGGATCACGGTTCAAAGTCAGCCTGGGCAAGAAAGTCCATGAGACTCTTCTTATCTCTAATAAACCACCAGAAAACAGGAAGTGGCTCTGTGACTCAAATGGTAGAGCATTCGCCTTGAGCTGAAGAGCTGAGAAGCTGAAGGATAGTGCCCAGGCTCAGAGTTCAAGCCCCACAACTGACATACAAACAAACAAAAAAGACCTGAACAAAGGCTGAGAGTAAAGAGACAGGCTTGTACCCAACAATGCCAAGACTATTTGCCTCAGGTCCAGCTCCACCCTTGCTGATAGATGCCTTTGTCTTCCAGGCTCCAGTGACAAAGCTCCAGGGATATATGAGCTTCACTGAAAATGCAGTTTTCCTAAGCACAGGCTCTGACTCCAAGCAACACTATCAATTGGGGTAGAAGACCAAAGGCACACAAACAGAGCAATCAGAACTCACAGAAAGCACCCCTGGCTCTACCATTACTGAAGAGAGACAGGACAGTGAAGGACTATTATCTTCCTCAAAGGAGTAACACACCAAGCAAGGTAGCCACCTGCTTCACCCCAGGGGTGCAGTGTGGAATTTAACCTAGACCATAGACCAACAGCTGCACAAGTAATCCAAGCCAACTACTGGGAACTATAGCTGGATCTATCTGGAATTTATTATGGCTCTCCAAAGGTGAACAAAATAAACTACTTCTACTAGTCATCTGCTATGTTCTGCATCCTAAGGCAGGTGATTGCATCTAATTGCCCCATCTTATAAGCCAGACCAAAACCTGAATGACCATCAGTAAGAACACGAATTCTGGATAGAGGGTTCTGCTAGGAGGAAGAATCCACATGCTCAGCCAGGGTCTCTGCACCACATCAGCCCTCCCACTCTGCTCACAGAGCATTTCTGAGCCAGACCACCTTAGGACAACCTGAGCAGGAAATGGCACAGGCAAAGTAACTAAGGAACTGACAGTAAGCAAGGAAACAAGGTCAACCTTGAGAAAAGGAATGGGAAGGGGAAGAGGCAGTTTCTGACTTCAACCTGTGAATAAGACTTTTATTGCCACCTTTCCAATCACTCAGTTTATTCAATCCAAACATCTTGCCTCCTAATGTGCAAGATCTTGAGGGTATGGAAAAGCAAGATGGAAAGGACATTGATTCCTACAGCCCAAAGAGTAAAGAAATTGATGGTAGGGCACTAAGTGCTCACTAGGACTGAAGCAGAGCTAGAGAAAACTGAGCAGAGGAACCATCAGGCCACTGAGAACCAGGAGCAGACAACAGCTAGGGAGAACAGAAGAGGATGAAGAGGATACTGCCAGCAATTAAAAGGAATAATCTACACCCTAATAGAGTAATTGTATACAAGATATACCTATAACTGCCTTTAATCAGTCACACAATCCCAAAAAAGTACTTGCCTCCCTCTCTGACAGAAGAGGAAACTTGACAGAAGTCAAGCAACGCGCCAGAGTACTAACTGGCTGGTGATATGATTACTCTTATTTTGTTCTTGCTAAATATTAAAAACAAATTTTGTTTCTAAGTTCCTAACCCAGTAAATCTTAAGCAGAAACAGACCACAGTAAGAAAAAAATCTAAATTTTTTAAAGAGATCTCTATTGTGAAATTCACTATACCATTCCTTCAATCTTCAAATCAAACGTTTCATTCATATAACCCTAATTAAAAGCAACTGTAGGTCCTACTCAACAAGCAAACTCATTCAATTAAAATTCACAAGAAAGGTATTATCGTTTGTTGAGGCCTCACACCTAATGCTCTACTCACCTTCTCTCTCTACCTCAATGCAGTATCAGCAAAACCTATGATCCTAACCTTAGAACACCGTCAGTATCTGCGTACTTCTAATATCTCCAGCCTGCTTTCTCTGTTTCTATCCTCAGCTTGGCCGTTGTACTGATAACATAACAGCAGTCATACTACTTTACTCCTCTGCTCAGATCTCCACAACAGTACCCAAACATCCCCACAACAGGTACCAATACACTCAGAATGGTCAGCCAGGCCCTCCATGACATAGCTCTTTTCTCTACACCCACATCTCAACCTCTCCTTCTCATAACCCCTAGTATCCTGGCTTCCAACCATCACACAGCCTTCCCTACTATTCTTTGCCTACCTCAAGGCCTCTAAACTGCCTGTCCCTCCTCATGGGTCTCTGAAATCCCCCCTCAACTAATTTAATAATTTTGAAAAAGTCACAAAACTGTAGTATGTTCAGACTCCTAGACTTTCCACTACAAAACAGAGTGTAAAAACACATTTGTTTAAAAAAAAATCATTAAGACTAGTAAACAATGCTGAGAGCAAGATCATTAAGAATGGAGAACTTCAAACCCCTTCAAATGCTATACAGAATTTTGCCCCATCTGGCTTACCTACAGAAACCTAACCTTAAATGTGAAGGTCACCAGGAATCAACAACTAAGAAATAAATTGCTTATAAAGGTCACTAAGAGTAGTTCATAAAAATATAATCACTTTCCCATTTCTCATATAGCCACACACTTCTGTTTGCCTTAATCCCAAACACAAAGGTAATACTTCTTGGAACAGCAAAATACTGACAAATGCTTTTATGTCAGCCAATAGGAGGAATGCAAATAAAAAGTACTGTTCATATCACATATGTATAACTCTAATTCCTTTAACAGTTCTAAATTGGCTTTAATCCTGAATTACACGTTTAAGTAACTTGAACATTTTTATAATATAGTAACGCCAATTAATGACTGCTAATCACACACTAACTTTGGAACATTTGGTATCCTATAGCAAGCTAACTTCCTGCATGCGCTTCTGCCATGGTGTCTCACTGCTTCCACTATAAGACCAGGTAATTTTTAGGAAAATGTTAGTCAATCAACAAAAACTATGTCTTGATAACAGTTAAGATAGTGTTAGTCATAATTCATAATTAAGGATATAATCACCTTTTCTGAAAGCAAACAAACAGGTCTCACAGTACAACAAACTCCCAAAGGTGGCAGTTTTGTCACTATTCACGCGTCTTGTAGAGTTTTGTAACAATTACTATACCTCCCTTCAGATATGCTGGAGGATTTCGGGGGTGGGAGGCTGGAGAAGGCACTGAATTGTGACTGGAAGATGAAAAGAAGTTCAGTTACCTGTGGGACAAAGAAAAAATCATTTCACTAGTCATAACCTCAACTGTTGTATTTGTAACACAAGAACAATGACAACCCCAGCCCTTTCCAAGTACTGACCAGGACTAACCACAAAACACCGAACAGGGACACTAAAGTTAAAACACGTTAGCACTTCTCTGTGCAAAACTTTGCTCCATATTTTTTTTCCTGTGCAGATCCTGGGGCTTGAATTCAGGGCCTGGGTCCTATTCCTGAACTGTTCTGCTCAAGACTAACATTAACCACTTGAGTCACAGTTCCACTTCTGGCTTTTCTGGTGCTTAAAAATTAGAGATAAAAGTCTCATGGAAATCCTGCCCAGGCTGGCTCTGATCTCCATATCTCAGCCTTCCGAGTAGCTAGGATTACTAACTCCATGGAGAAGGGGAGGAGGAGGGGAGTAAGGGACAAGAAGAAAACTGGAGCCAGTGGCTCATACCTATAATCCTGGCTACTAATAAGGAGGCTCAGATCTGAGGACTGAGTTTCAAAGCAGGTCTAAGCAGGAAAATCCAAGAAATTCTTACCTTTTTTTTTTTTGTTCTTTTTTGTTTTTTTTTTTTTGGGGGGGGGGGGGTCCGGTCGTGGGGCCTGAACTCTGGGCCTGGGCACTGTCCCTCAGCTCTTCAGCTCAAGGCTAGCACCCTACCACTTGAGCCACAGCGCCACTTCCAGCTTTTTTCCTTTTGCTTATATGGTGCTGAGGAATCGAACCTAGGCCTCATGCATGCAAGGCAAGCGCTCTAACACTGAGCCACCTTCCCAGCCCCCCAAGAAATTCTTAACCAGTAAAAAGCTGGAAACAGAACTGTGAGTCAAGTGATAGATCACTAGACTTGAGCACGAAAGCTCAGATACAGTCCCAGGCCCACAGTTCCAGGCTCAAGACCAAAACAAAACAAAACAAAAGAAGCTTCTTATCACTAACCTACACAGACTAAGAATACTTAATGGAGTATTAGTAATATAGTATACAGTAGGTTTTTTTCCCCCACAGACTCTAATTAACGACCACTTCTTTGTTGTTGTTGTTGTTGGTCCTGGGGCTTGAACTCTGGGCCTGGGAGCTATCCCTCAGCTCTTCAGATCAAGGTAAGCACTCTACCACTTGAGCTATAGCGCCACTTCTGGTTTTCTGATGGTTTACTGGATATGAGAGTCTCATGGACTTTCCTGCCAGGCTGGCTTTGAACTGTGATCCTCAGATCTCAGTCTCCTGAGTAGCTACGATTACAGGCATGAGCCACCAGGGCCTAGCTTACTTCTTATTTTTGCTTTGCCACATAGGAGATCAAAGCTAAATTCCAGTACAAAATTTTGGGAAGTTAATTTTCACTTTTTTTTTTTTTGGGGGGGGGGTGTCTGGTCATGGGCCTGAACTCGGCCTGGGTGCTGTCCCTCAGCTCTTCAGCTCAAGGTTAGCGCTCTACCACTTGAGCCACAGCGCCACCTTCAGGTTTTTTTTCCTGTTTAATGTGGTGCTGAGGAATCGAACCCAGGGCCTCATGAATGCAAGGCAAGCGCTCTACCACTGAGCCACCTTCCCAGCCCCAATTTTTCACTGATTTTTAAAAGGACAAATATCTGTAAGATGGTGCTGCATACATTTTAAACATTTCCTAGTGCTAGAGGCAGAGCAATGACCCAAACTTACCAAGGCTTCAACTTATTTGTACATGTTTTAAAAGAGAGGTTTTGCTTTTATTAAACATAATTTAAGTATCAAAAGGCAAGCAAGCTGGATACTGGTGGCTCATTTCTATAATCCTAGCTACTCAGGAGGCTGAGACCTGGAGGAAGGCAGGTCAAATCCAGGCTGAAAAGTGTGAGAACCTTCATCTCCAAAATAACCATCAAATAGTAGGTCTGGAGGCTTGACTCAAGCAGCAAAATGCCAGCCTAGCAAGTTCAAGGCCCCAAGTTCAAACCCCAGTACCAAAAAATGAACAACAACAACAAAAAGGCAAACAAGTAGCTCATTTAGAATTAACACTGCTTAGGCCTGGGAAGGTGGTTCAGTGGTAGAGTGCTTGCCTTGCATGCATGAGGCCCTGGGTTCAATTCCTCAGTACTACATAAGCAGAAAAAGCCAGAAGTGGCTCTGTAGCAGGAGTGGTAGAACTTTGAGCTGAAGAGCTGAGAGACAGTGTCCAGGTCCAGAGTTCAGGCCCCACAACTGGCAAAATCAACACTGCTCAAAAAAACAAGTTTGAACTTCAGGAGCAGAGAAATCCAGCTTATTTTTCCACTTCATCACCATGATTTTTTTTTTTTTTTTTTTTTTTTGCCTTATAAGCAGGAAATAATGAACAGTAATTGTGCTGTTCCAAGGCAGGAAACAATGAAAACACTACGAGACTGAAGAGGCTTTGAAGTTATACCCTTGGGTACCAGGGACCCAAAACAATTAGCACAGAGTTCTGGCCCCTAAGCAGTTCACAACTCACGCAAAGCAAGCACAGATATCAGACCCCTACCCCTCACGAACACTCCTTTAAGATTACGGTAGAGCCACCTAATAAACCTCCAACAAATCATTTTAAAGGTTTAAGACAGTTTGAATTTTGAATAATTCATAGATTATTTTTAATACTGAGGAATAGGAACCACCTGGATGTTCAACAAGAAGGATAAAAGAAAGTTTAGAATATCAAATTAGTACAAAAGCAATAAATAAAAAGGTGTTTTCTAAAAAAGTTTTTTTCACTGACATTGGAAATACTCATTAATGAAAAGATAAACATATTTTTACAGATCAGTTAGCTCCCGGCTCAAAAATCCAAGTTTTCTTTTATGTATGAATGTATTTATTACAGTGGAGATAGAACCTAGGACTTCATGCATGCTAGGCAGCCCCTGGCATTTTTAAGATAAAATGTTATTAAAAAAAAAAAAAAAAGCACAGGGGCTGGGAAGGTGGCTCAGTGGTAGAGCGCTTGCCTTGCATGCATGAGGCCCTGGGTTTGATTCCTCAGCACCACATAAGCAAAAAGAAAAAAGCCAGAAGTGGCGCTGTGGCTCAAGTGGTAGAGCGCTAGCCTTGAGCTGAAGAGCTGAGGGACAGTGTCCAGGCCTAGAGTTCAGGCCCCACGACCAGCAAAAAAAAAAAAAAAAAAAAAAGTACAGAAGAGTGTACACAGTGGTATGCTAATGTAAAGCAAAAGAAACTACATCTGTTCTTGCTTTTGCATATGAAGAAACCATCTTTAGGAGATTACACAATTAAGAATAGAAATTCCATCTAGAAAAAATTTAGTGGGGAAAAAAATACAGCTTAAGAGAGGTAGGAGGTGTGACTTAGCACATACTTATTTGAATTTTGTGCCATGTAGTTGTACTTTCTGTTAAGAACAATAAATGATGGGCTGGGAAGTTGGCTCAGTGGTAGAGTGCTTGCCTTGCATGCCTGAGGCCCTGGGTTCGATTCCTCAGCACCACATAAGAAAAAAGAAAAAAGCCGGAAGTGGCGCTATGGCTGAAGTGGTAGAGCACTGGCCTTGAGCTGAAGACCTGAGGGACAGCGCTCAGGCCCAGAGTTCAGGCCCCACAACTGGACCCAAAAATAAAAAATAAATAAAAAGAACAATAAATGAACACAACAAGTAACTATGTTAAAACAATATGGAGTCAAGTTACTAGCGTTTAAAAGTGAAACACCTTTCTAAATAATCCTAAGCCAAATTACAATTTCAAAGAGAAATTAGAATATGCTTGGGGGAAAATAGTAAGTATATACCATTAGTATCTTTATTATGTACCTGAAAGAGTACTTTAAAGGAAACTTTATAACTTTAAGTGACTATATAATAAAAATAGAAACGACTGTTTTGACCTTCATAAAACAGAAACAGGTGAGCAAATCAAGCCCAAAATAAGTAGAAGACAAAATCAGTATAGTGTTGTGCACTGGAGCAAGAGGCAAAAAGGCAGATGAATAATCCTACTCATCACCACTCATTTCCATCATTTATTTTTAAAGAATATAGCACTAGCTATGCATCAGTGGTTCATGCCTGTAATCCTAGGTACTCAGGAGGTAGGGCTCTGAGTGTCACTGTTAGAAGCCAGCTCAGGCAGGAAAGTCCATGAGCCCTATCTCCAATGAACCAGAAAAAAGAAGTGGAGTTATAATTCAAATGATAGACGATCAGCCTTGAGCAACAAAACTCAGAGTACCCAGGCCCTGAGATCAAGGGCCAGGAAGGAAGCGGGGGGAGGGGGAAGGGAGAAGAACCAGTATTAAACTGTTATTTGTATTAAACAAGTTTCTGGGTGACCTCTCAAGGGTGTACTTCTAATATAAATGCCTCACCCTCCTCAACCTCACCTCAGTCTACACCCATAGGTCATCACTTACTTAGGTGGTGATCCCAAAACATTCCGACCATGAAATACACACACACACACACACACACACACACACACACACACACTTGGATTAGTAAGTATGGACTTTAAATAAAAAACGCTACGCTATAATCCTAGCTACTCAGGAGGCTAAGATCTGAGGATCACAGTTCAAAGCCAGCCCAGGCAATCAAAGTCCATGAGACTCTTATCTCCAGTGAACCACCAGAAAACCGAAAGTGGAATGGTGGTTCAAGTGGTAGAGTGCTTGCCTTGAGCTGAAGAGTTCAGGGACAGAGCCCAGGTCCACAGGTCAAGCCCACAACCAACAACAAAAAATTATAAGTATGTTAGTAAAAATCAGTGGTTGACCACAGATAGGTGTGATACAGCCAATATCACACATTCATCCAGTTACTCTGCCCAAGAAGAGTAACTAAAAACAACAACTACAATTCACACCAGTAACACACCAGGACACAGCAACACATCAGGACACCAGGTACATATCAAAGCAAGGCAGATGACCAAAGAGAGAAGGGTTTGTAAATAACTGTCTTATTTTTAAAAAAGACCTTCCTCCAACCAAAACTTCATCCCTAACTATATAAAAAAAATAGATTTGAGATTTC